ATACGTCAAAAGATCACAAATCGTATCTAGTCGAAGACATTACCCTTAAAAATTGAAAAAATTTCCCTCGTTCCCCGTAAATGGGGGAAACCTCCAAAAAAATTATAAATTTAAAAATCGCTAATTTTCGAAAATTTTTCAATTTTTTTTACTAAAAACTGTCGTAACTTTTTTAAAAATGAACATATTAATATAATTCTTTCTTTTATAGATGCATGATGTCATTACCTATCATTTGGTATATTTTTTTTATAAATCTGACTTTTTACCTGCCTACAGGGGGGGATTCAAAATGACAACTTTTTCACAAAAAATTGACTTTTTCAACTTAAATTTTGAAAGTGTTCCGGAAAGTCTGACACTTTTATATATATATTAAATTAAAGCTAATGTAATCTACTTTATTATGTAAAAAAAAAATTTCGGACTTTATTTTGTCTTCACGGTGAAAATGGCTACCAAATGCTATTATTGTGTGAAAATTCTCAATTTTATTTTTTACATTTTTAACATTATAATGCTATAACTTATTGAAAAGTGTATTGATCAATATAATTTTTTTATGGGAAATACTATTTTTTAATAATCCCTTTTTCATTCGACATACTTTATCTTAATCAGGATATTAATAAGGAACTAGCAGTTTATGAAGCTTTTGGAATAATCCACCAATTTTTTAAAATTAAACACTATCTAAAGATTTGCATCGAAGCGTTTATTTTTGATAGTGATTTTAATCACTGTCAGATATCATTATACTTGATCCAACTATGCCACGTCACCACTCTGCCGCGACCCCCCTGTGCTGGGTTTTTTAATATTGTATTTAAGTAAATAGTTTTTACTTAAATTAATAATATTACATTTGTAAGTTCAATAAATTACTAATATTTTAATATACATTTTTTCTAAATATTAAATAAATTATTAAGTTTAAAATTGACTTATACAATCAACAAACTAATTTTTTTGTATTGATATAGTGAACATCTTTGTAAAATTGTCCATAAGAAAAACTTAGTTTCGCAGGTTACAAGTGATGGGTTTATACCCCCCTATAATGATTTCTACATCATATATTAGTGTATGCCAATGTGTATTTGTAAATATCGGTTTATACGATTTCAGTATTTCTGAAATATTGATTGTTTCTTTGGGGGAGAGTTATTTTATTGTTTGTATCCTTTATAAATAATATTTCTAATAGGAAATTTTGTCAGATATTCATAGGTATTAGTATCGTCTTGGCACGACTCAGGGAATTTATCCTAAGTGTATTAGAATGTATAAATACTTGTGATTATTAATATTTCTAATATAAATGTTATATTTTCTTTAGAGAGGAGGTTGTATTATGTGGGGTCTTTTTCATTGTATTTATTTTTGTATAGTTTTATAATGTATTAAATTGTTGTATATGTTATATATATTTTTTGCATACGCACTTATATATTTTGGAATACATATTTATATAATATTTTTATATATGACTGTTATTTTTACAAGGATTTCAGTTATACATTTTCAATTTCCGAAGTTAAGAAAAAATTAATTTCGTAGATTATTACCATAATAATTTTCATTTAATAATTAGAAAATTAAAAAAAAAACAATTACTATCAAGATGTATTATTATAAATTATACATTTTTGTGTTCCCTTTTTTTTATAGTATAATAATTATAATTTATATACATTTTATAATTATAATGATGAAATTAAAATTATGGGTACTTCTTTCCCTTGAATTCTTACAGTAATGCAACCCAATGAACATTATTATGGTTACCGTCTTATCAGTTTTTGTGGTTGGGCGCTGATTCTCGGGAACTAACTTCCAGACGTTATGTATTTGTAAAGTTAAAATATTGAATTTGCCTCTTTAAAATACAAAATGTATTTTTTTGGTGATTTTCTTTTAAATATACCTTGATGACTGTTAAATAAGTTTTCTTATTTATAAAGTATAAAAGTAAATTTTACTAAAAATGGTTCGGTTTAAATTTTCGTACATATTACCTTTAATGTTAGGAATTATAATTATTTTATTTTTTCTATATTTATTCGATAAATCAACTTTTATTCTATTTATCGATAACCCGTTAACAGAACTTCCAAGTCAATCCAGAAATTTATTCCAAACTAGGTAAAATATATTGAATAAAATAATTTTTTTTTAAACAGATATTTATTTGATAATATAAAAATTACAGAAAAAATATTGAAGTTGTAGTTGCAGTAGTTGTTTGTGGTAAAATAACTACTGAAGCTTTAGTTATGATAAAATCAGCTATCGTCTTTCGCGGTGATGCTAATCTTCGAATTATCATTGTTGCAGAGAAAAATATTCAACAAGATTTTGATGAAACTGTAATTATTTTTTAGTTAATCTGATGAATAGAATTTTTTACTAACACATATTTAATACTAATTTTAGCTTCGAGAATGGAAATTACTAACAAATGATTCTTTTACTTACGAGATTCACAGTATTACTTTTCCTAAAGAACATTCAAATGAATGGAAAAAGTTATTTCAACCATGTGCATCTGAGCGACTTTTCTTACCTGTGAGTTAATTTTTTATATATATACTCCAAATTACTGTATAAAATGACCTTGTATTATATAACTTTAAAGAGATTTCAAGAATTTCAGTTTATTTTAATTCATCATTTATGTCATAAATATTATGAATTTTGGTTTTTATTAAAATATCATAAGATACTTTTTTAACTAAAATGAGTCTACTCTATTTCATAAAAAACAATGAAATACATTTTTCTTCATAGAATTAGTATCCTAACTTAAAAATATCTAATTTAAAAATTATGTTAATATTCTAGTCAGTTTTAAGTCATTTAGATTCCGTTCTGTATGTTGACACTGATACATTATTTTTGAATAATGTGATGGATGTTTGGAGACACTTTGCACTAATGAACTCATCTCAATTGGCAGCTTTGGTACCAGAACATGAAGATATGAATGTTGGATGGTACAACAGATTTGCTAAACATCCTTACTATGGAAAATTAGGTATGTATTTATTTGATAATTATTTCATTTATTAAATTTTAAATTCATTATTTTATTAATAGGATTAAATTCTGGTGTTATGTTAATGAACCTCACAAGAATGAGAGCATTTAATTGGGTTGATAAACTTGAACCAATTTTAGAAAAATATAGAAAGCAGCTAACTTGGGGTGATCAGGATATTATTAATATAATATTTCATGATTATCCTGGTAAGGAAAAAAAAATTTAATTATATTGTTACTTTAATCACTGGCAATACCTCATATCTAAATTGTTTATAGTTAAAATAAAAACTTAAAATTTATTATTTATCATTAACAAATTATATATTTGTTTAAAAAATGATAAATATTTTACCAAAAAAGCATATGAAATAAATAATATAATTTTTTTTTTTTCATTGAATATTAAAATTAAATATGCTATTTAATATAATTATAATTAAGAGTAAAAATACTTATTGTATCATACAAATGCTTACTTTTTAAATTAATCATAAGAATATTAAAAAAAAATTCTTATATAGTAATTTTCGCAAAATTCGTAGTTATTAAGAATTGCCACTAAGATTTGGAGTTTGACTGGGTCAAATTTAGTGATATTTTTATACATAGTATACGTAGTATTCTACTTATTAATATGTAAATAATATATATTTATGTACTCTAAAACATTAGATAAAGTGTATGTTTATCCTTGTCGATATAACTATCGATCAGATCATTGTATGTACATGAGTAATTGTAAATCTGCAGAAGAAAACGGTATTGCAGTTCTTCACGGTTCAAGGTCAACATTTTGGACAAACAAACAGCCTGCTTTTCGAGCTGTTTATCGAGCTATATATCAAGTATAATTTAATAATTAATTGTAATCAAATTAATTTAATAATTACTTTTTAATAGCTTTAATTTTTTTTTTTGTTTTACCTTTCTGGTTAATAGTATCAACTTGGGAGTGATCCAACTACATACCTCTTAGAACCAATGGTTAGTTTATTAAATGAAACTATAAGTTCGAATTGTGGCCGCCTTGCTCCAATATTTACTTATAATATGAGACAACTATTTAACACACAATAATAGTATATATAATGGCAAGAAAAATAGACTTTTAAATTACTAAAGTATCAAATTAGAAATTCTATTTTGGTTTTGTTTGTATAAAGCAAATTATTGGATCTCGTTTAAATTTTTGAAGTTAATAACTTCAGTATTACAAATTATCACTATTTTGTCTTAAAGACAGATAGATTTATTAATTAGTTATAAGATTTAGAAAGTAATCAATTAAAACTTTTTTAATTTTTGTTACATTTTTATATTTTATTTAATGCAATTGTTACTGGATAGTTACATGATCAAATATTTTATTTCTTATTTGTTTTGAATGACCATTTGCAAATTTTTAATATTAAGTTATAAATAGTTATATTTTATATCAGATAATTTAGTTTAATTAATTTGTATAATGCTGTGATAATTATTTTGCACAATATATAAGTATAACTTTAATTACTAGTTAAGTTAGTGTTAATATGAATCACTAATGCCATTTTTTTACTTATCTATGTTAAAAAATGTTTATACTTATGATGATGGAACACAATATATCTTTAACAAATATTATAATTTTGATATGATTACAAATAAAAAAATAATATTTATTTTATTTTAATACTAGTTTGTTTTTATTAAAAAATTGATTTAAGATATGTAAAGTTATATCACCAATTTTATTTACAAATAATATAAATAATAGCCAGGGTGACTGTTGAAGTGAATGAACAGTTAAGAGTTGTTCATCTTATCTTAAAGATATTTTTAAATTTATATTTGAATGTCACACTCTTAAAATAAATAAATTCTATGGAAAAATCTTTTCATAATAATGTAAAAATATTTATAATTAACCAATACAAAAATTAACAGCTAGTTATGTAATAAAAATGTTGATATGATAGAAGAACTTAATTTATATATAATTTTTGTAATAAAAACTTAGATACTACATTTTAATATCAGGTTAGACAATTTTTTAATCAAAAATTTAATAGTAGTTTTTTACAAGTAGTGTTCATTCACTATGATGTTATATTATTATTTTTATTTAAGAATAATACAGTCAAAAGAAAATATTTAATATTATCTAAAATGTAAAATACTAACAAGTCACAACAAATATATTTATTAACATATTTAAATAAAAAAGGATTATGTAAATATAGCTTATTGTTTTCTTTTAAAATTTTTTCTATTTATTCAAGCATTTTTTTATTTTATTTAACATTTTACATTTAACCTGACAGGTAGTAACTTAGGACGAAACTTTTTTTTTTTGAATTAATCATTTATAATTAAAATTTAAAAAAGTTACTTTTTTTACTAAATAAGTTATATGTTATAATTATTAATATTTTAGTATAAATATTCATTTTTTAACATTGTATTTGTGTACAAAAATAGTTTTAAAATACTTCTAATAAGCATTAATCAATAATAAAAAAAAGTATTTTTTTCCTAAAAGTGGATAATAAATAGTTCCCTTTAACGAATGACCATTCTATTATTTTATGTATTCGAAATATAAATATTTACCTTGGGTTATAAAAGGACTACAAAAAAGAAAAAATATTGTTTTTTTTAAATAACTACTGTAGAATTCTTAAGTACATTAAAAGCATGATTTAAGTTGCTATAAATAGAATATTAATTCTATTTTAAGGCAAACTCGGATATTTCCAACATGCATATTTTTTTTACAGTAGTTATTTTAAAATAGGAAAAACTTTATTTTTTGTAAATAGGTCCTTTTTGACCCAAAGTACTGAACTGTATTAATTATTTTAGAAAATATACGTGATTTTTTCATCATAAAAATTTTAAGAAAACTTAAATTTTCGAAAAATTACAAATATTTATTGTTATTACGCTGTACTTAGTAATTCAATACTTACGTACAATGTCGTATTTATAGAAAACACGGGACCCTCTCATTATTTATTAAGCAATATAATAATGTACGATGAGTTAGTAATTAATATCAATGTTAATAAAATAAAATATAGAAAAACATCAAAATATAAATATATTATTATAGTTATGTAACGTTATATCTATAAAGGTTTTAGTTTTTTTATATTACGTAATAATACAAATAATTACATTATTACTCGTAACATCTTTATTGATTACTCTCGTTGAATAATATTTCATAAATAACTCATAACAAATTTTTGTTAAATACGATCATAAAAAACTGCATTCATTTCGGTGAAATATTTATAGATCATAGGCATTTTGATAGTAGATCATATGAAAAATTTGTTTAAAAAGTGTTAATCTTAAAATTAAAACCATATTTATAATTATAAATTAAAATAATCTTAGTGTTTTAGAATACGTGATGTGATTATGTGTTCATTTAAAACCTGACTTGTAATTAATTAAAAGCCAGATAAAACAAATTTGATCTATCTCATTTAATTTTATAGATTGATTATCAAATAATATTGTGGAACTCTTAACAATTTATGACTTTTTAAATGTAGATAAATGTTTATTTTACATGTATGAAGGAGGGAGCTAACAGGCCTATAGCCCTTCTCTATTAGTTACTTATTACTACACAAACTTATTACAATGTATGAATTTGATGCTTTAGCAGTATGTGATAAACAAACTAAAAAATATTCTCGAAACACTCATTGATAAAGGTCTACATAATTTATTTATAACACAATTGTCAAAGTATAAACAATTATTAAATGGTAAATGTTTATTATTCGTATAAAAATACATAGGAACAAATATATTAATTTGTTACATCAATGAACTCTTTTGTTCGACTCGAATATTTCTTCTATTTCAAGTAAACTTTTGTTTTCTGTTTCCGGTAAATAAAAGTATACGTATACACTTCCAATTACTCCAATTACGCCAAATAATATCATTGTATACTCTAGTGATAAAAATTCTTCAACACTTAAATACACTCGTGTAGAACAAAATATGCAGAAATAATAAAAAGCTGCAGATAACCCAGTGGCAATTCCTCGAACGCTGAAACAACATGCACTTAAAATTAATCACATATTCTAAAACATCGTTTTGATACGATTGTAAACAAATCGTTTTAGTCAAAAACGAATTATATATTAAAATTATTATTGTATAGAGTTTTGGGTATCTGTATATTTTAAAGGCGTTATAATCTAATACACGAAATATCAATATTAATTTTTTTTTATTGATTATTGGAAATTGAAAATTCATTATTTTTATATAATTGGCAGAATTTGACATTTATAAAATTTAACAACATCAGTCGCATTTTATTAATATTATATCGAAACGGCTAATTTAAAATATAATATTGTAATATGATTTTACTTACTTATAGGGATATATTTCACTCATTACAGTCCAAGGTAAACATATCAAAATATAAGAGAAACTATAAATCCAGCAAAGCAGTATTAAAAATATCCAAGGCTTCTTTGTCAAAAAGTAATTTTTTATTAACATCAAATACAAACCTATTACAAATAGGGCAGCAGTATTTGCAATCAGTCCAATTAATGACAGGAACCTTTTCCCATACTTTTTCACAAATATAATTGTTAAAAAACATGGAACAATTTGTAAAGCCGTAAAAAGAATCTGAAATTAATTTTTAACCAGGTTTTAGGTTATTTTTCAGTAGTCAAATGCAATTTGATGATTTATTGTACGTGTTATTTTAAATAATATATATCCTTAATAATTAAAATAGAATACAATTTAAAAAATTTTGAAATATAAAGTTAATATTTAAAATTTGAACATAAAAAAAAAATATATTTTCCACGTCAAAAAATATTCTTTTTTTCGTGAGACTTGTAAATGAATAAAATAATCACTAAACTCATTTCTATAAATAAGTAATTACAATATAAAATTTTACCAATATAAGACTTTGATTTGTCACCAAACCTAATTCAGTCAGTATGTGTTTAAGATATGGCCTGCACGGAATTATACTGAGAATTTGAGAAATTAAAAAGAATACTAAAATCAATCTCAGAGGTCTATAAACAAGGGGATCCTTGAAAAACATCATTCGTGAAGTAAAATTGATATTTTTTTCAATGGCTTCTCCGTGATGTGTGCCGGACAATTGATTGTATTGAATCAGTTCCTTATATTCCTCTTTAACTAATGATGAATCTACCCAACCTCTTAACCAACATAATGATTTTATAGCTTTATCATTTTTACCTTTATTTGCTAACCAAACTGGTGATTCTGGTATCTAAAATAATATATATTTAAAATTATTCTCCCTGGTGTTATTGCTGTGTACAGTATACTAACCATAAGGACAAATAAAATACATATAATTGGACTTAACACACTGATGAGTGCTATAATTTTCCACTTGAAAAAATATCCTAATACTGAAGTTAAAAAGGAGCCAATGAAAAGTCCACCTTGCGCTACTGCTGCTAGTTGACCTCTAATACGAGGTTCCGTAACTTCACCTATATAGGAGAATATAGGAGCTTCATTGAAACCTATGCTCAATCCCATTGACAGTGAAGATATGAAAAGCATTGTGGGGGATGTAGCAAAATGTAAAAATGTCCATCCAATTATACTTGGGATATTTGCTAAAATCATACAACGTTTTCGTCCAACTTTTTCTTGTAAAAATCCTGAAATTAAACTACCTGGAGGATGACAAATGTATAAAATGCTTCCTGAAATACAATAAAACTTTGTAATTCCCATTAAGTAATTATCTCCTTTAAACACTTACCATACCAAGAAGCTTGAGTACTCGTTAATAAAAATTCACCATTTTTATTGAGATACACATCACCAAGTACTATTGTAGGCATCAACAACTCCATTCCCAAATTAATAAGTAATAGACTCTGTGCTATAACAGCTAATGTCTGAAACATAATTTCTCCATCAGATCTTCTTATATTCAGATATTCTTATAAAATTTTAGACATCTAGAGTTGAAGAGTTCTTCGGTAGATTCTAGGTTAAGTTCCACGGTTCCTGATGAACCCTTTTCATGCAAGTCCAGATTATAATTTTACGATAAATTTCAGTTTAATTAATATTTGTGCCTTTCAGTTATTTGTTTTTTATAACCTGATAATAATAATAACTATAGGATGTTTACTATTAATTGAGTAATTTATTATATAAAATAATTGTGAACGATTCGTTGATACTTTTTAATATTTTAGGAAATTATGAAAGACACCATTAAAATAATTAATTTTAAGTGTTTATAAATACTTATAGTTAAGGTAGGTTTTTTAAATTTTTAATGTTAAAATCAATAGTTGAGTATAAAATGTTTACTTGTGCCAATGTTGCTTTTGATCCATAGTCTCTTTCTGAGGGGATTTCTATATAATTAGCAGACATTATTTAATAGTGGTAGATTTTGTTACTAATAACTGAAAATAAAATAAAAATCGTGTTTTATAAATTTATTTTTAGCGTTCTTGAACAAGAATGTCATATACTATTATTTCAGCATAGATCCAACTGTTAATTCGGTATACAATCTAACGAAATTAGTAAAAATTATATAAATTAATTTAATCAATTTTTTTTTAAGTGAAAACATTTTTGAATTTAAATAAAGGGGTAAATAATAAATTTAAATATAAGGGTCATTCACAGATATACATTTGAAACATAAAATTTTTAGGAACCTTAACTACATTTATATAAAATGTAAAACACGGTTGACATGATTTTTTATTAAACTAAACCCATAAAAATTATCTTGAATGAACTATTTAAATGTATTATACGGCCGAATTTTGGTAAAATATTATATTTACTAGCATTTATTTAATACGAGTGTGCATAATTGAAATTAAATAATAATCTTGTGTGTACCTTATATTTATTTTGTCGAATTATACAATAATTTAATTTATAAAGATAAAACTATTAACATCTTTTCATCATAAAAAGTAAAAAAAGTAACTTCAACATTTAATAACCATTGTACCAAAAAGCAAATAAACAAATGAAACAAAAGATAAATAATTATATAATATACATTCAATTTAAATCTTATAATTTATTTTAATTGGGTATAATAACGTATTGACGATCATAATAGTCAGCCGTACTTAAGAGTGCATAGATCACAATTGAGTTGCTTTGTTAATCTGGCGTTGAGTTACACGATTATCTCGTCCATTCTTTCAAAATAATTACTCGAGAACAGGACATTAAAAATTAAAAGTTGAACATTTATAAAACTTCGTTTAAAAAATTAATTATATGTACAGATAAGCACAAACTTTGTTTAAAATATTTAACACGTGTTGATATGATAAAATCAAATCATATGGTAGACAATAATTGTATAAAATATTTCTCCCTCTCAAAATATAATTATACACCGTTACATTCCCAACGATCAGTAGTGGGATGAATACTGGTTTTCAAGTCGTTAATCGGTACTACCGTAGATCTTCTGAAAACTGAATGTTATACAAAGTATTCAATCTTTTGACAAAATAATTTTTCTATATATTTGTTAAGCACACGAGTGAATGAATAATAAAACAACAAAATAAAAAAGCTAACTACTAAATAATTGGATTGTTAATGTCACTCAATAATTTACACGGATCATATTAAGTATACAAATATAATGTTTATCAATAGTTAATATAAATATAAATTAAACAATAATAAAAATAACAAACCTTAAATGTACTGAAATAAATAATTTCTGATCACATCACAATAATCAACAGCAATAATGTATCTATAAAAAAAAAACATTTTTATAAAAATAATAATATAAAAAATATTATGGCTTCATAATTTGTTGTAAATATGTATAAGGGATAAAGATTTTTAACGGTACTAAGCTGAACAATTTTGACAAAGGAGAACACGAGGTAGGTCAAATGAGATCAGTGACAATAAGGGAGGACGTGACAGGAGAGGTGGATAGTTTTAAATATTTAGGATCAGTTAAGCAAAAGAACAAAATATTGGTATTGACGTATGGTTCAGAGTGTTGAGCTTTTTACAATAGAATAGAGCAAAGATGACAATACTTGGATGAATGGAGTGACTAGAGATGATAGGATAAGGAACGCACATATTAGAGGGAGTGTAGAAAAGAGAGAAAATAGACTTGGATGGTTTGGTCATGTTATGAGAAGAAAGAAATCGGAAGCTGTAAAAACAGTTATAGAAATAAATGTTAAAAGAAGAAGAGATAGAGGAAGACCAAAAAAGAGATGGAGGGATGTTATTTAATGCGATATGAGGACGGCTGATGTGGGAGATCGTGTCAAGTGAAAGTGTAGGATAAGGGTGACCGATCCCAAGTAGTTGGGATAAAATGAGAAAAAAGAAGTAAGACTGCTCTAGGCAAACATTTGTACGGGGTAATGACCTCTTATGATTAAATTCTAAAGCGAACTCTAGATGTTTTTATTACCTTTTGTTATCTAAAATTAAAATATATGTTTATAGAGTTTCTGTACTGTTATCGCTCGAAACTGTCGTTTTTGACGTTAATAGGTTATTATTAATCGCAACGCTTCATAATTTTGCCGTTAAAAACGATCAAGTCGAAAAAGAGTAAACGATATGGAAAAAATGAAGATGTTGAAATGTCGTGAAAGGATTGATTTTTAAAAATGAGGGATCTAGAAGTTCGTCATAATGAACCTCTTCAATGGTAGAAAACTGAGGATTTGGTAAGAAGATAAGGAGAACGATTTTAAAGCAATAGAGGGGTAGTTTTGCAGATGGAAGAAAAGAGAAGGGATTGAATGACTACAAATACTACTAGTCAATTTTTTATTTACTATGGATTAGGCGCTTATTTATTCGATGATAATTTTCATGAAAAAATTTCATTTACAACCAATATTTAAAGTATAAAAATTGTATATACTTCTACTTTATTCTTTATAACATGATTTTCATTTGATGTTGTAAAATATCAATCATCTTAACGATAATTAATGTAAAGAAAAAATAAACTATTAGTTGAATATTACAAGTTTTTGTGAACAAACGTTTATACCAATGCAACAGCCGCTAGATAATTATGTCTTTTTCTAGTAATTAGTAAAAGTAATTTTCTAAATTTTGTATGCAGTTATAATTTCTGTTTAAAACAAATCTACTATTTTAATATTATTTTTTTATAACCTATGAACAGAATTAGTTAAATTCAAAAATAAAAATTTAACTGAAACACACCCGACAGAATAAGATGAATTTTATGAAAGTTTATAATTTAAAAATGTTGAACTTGTAATTTTTAAGAAAATCTACTTTTTTCTTTCTCTTGAAAAATATGTTTTTTTTAACATCCATCTATTTATATTTATTATAATAAATATGTTAATCAAAATAATCTTTAATTAATGACAATATATTGATCACAAATTAGCAATAACATAGTATATTTGTTTGGTACAGAAGGCATTTAGCAAAGATCTAGTAGACCAGTTGTTACAAACATCGTTGATTATATTATACCGCGTGACAGCTGATCTCCAGCGTCTTGCTTTACTCACCCCCTTGCCCACCCAGCTCGGCTATTCGATGACCTCCGTGTCAATTGTCATCCGTGTACAGTCCATTGTCGTAAGTCAGTTAGTTCTATTGTTTTATGTGTCATCTTTTCTGTAGCACTTCGCCTTCGCCTGAATGGTATATTGTACGCTGTTATTCTTATTATTTGTTCATTGCACTTTTTAGCTCAAAGTTCTCGTGCCCTTGCAAGCCACCAGTGATTGGGCCCTGACCATCACTAAATATCTTCATTGCCGTAGTCGTCTTTCCGCCGTCTGTTCTCATCTGCCATTACGTGACTGGATCTGCACTCTGACTCGTCATACTCAGACGTTCGACGCCATTGCCACAAGATCTTATACGGTCCATTCGTCACTATCAACAACTTCATCTATTCAGCTGAGTTTTTTTTTTAATGTTTTTAATTTTTTAATGTTTTTAATTTTTTAATGTTTTAATGTTTTAATTTTTTAATGTTATTTATTATTTGTTTTATTGAAGTTTACTATTTTGTTTTATGCCGCTTCGCCGGCCATTAGTATTCAAAAGCCCCCCTTTACCCCTTAAATTTAAGATATTCCTCGAAGAACTTCTAATTTATGTGGTAATTTTATATTTTATTATTATCTACTCTCGTTACTTATTGGATGTACCGTTACACATTATCCCCCAGGTGACCTACTCACGATTCAATAATAGCGACATAAACAGGCTTAAAATGTAAAACGGCATTTTAGTGCGGTGCACAACTAGCCGTCCTACACGAAACAATATTATTACAATACATTAATTCTTAATTTTTAACTTTATAACAGATAATTATATTGCGTTAATAAATACCTCTATTTAATCAAGTTTCACATTAATTGGCTTGTATGGTTGAAAATTAGAGACTGGAAAGATAATAAATTTTTATATCAAAATAAAAGAGCATGTTCACATCAAAAATTTCTCTTTGGAATAGTGTGGAGCGAATATATGGAAAAGCATAATTGACAGATTGTCCAATTCAGCCGGTTTGTTTAATGTTATAGCATTTATTAATTATTTTAATTTTGGAATAAAATTAATTCGACAAATTTTATTTAAAAAATATTTTTAGGGTTTTTATAAATGAATGGTTTTGACTTAGCATATTTGAACAAACCAACCTTCCGAAAGAGTTTTTCTATGGCACTTACAAGCAAAAAATATTTTATACAAATGAAAAGGATATTCAAGTTGGTTATTATTTTTTGGTGTATGACTTGATGAGACCATGGGAGTAATATTGTTAAGTTATATTTTTGTAAAATTCTATTTCATTTATTACTATTATTAATATAATATATCATTGTTTACCTTTTAAAACTCGATTAATTTCTTTTTGAAAATATCACAAGTTTAAAAGTTTTGGAGGTTTTTTTGTCAAAATAATGTTATTTAGAAATAGTATGGAATTTTCCATTATAATAAAGTATATTCAAATAAATAAGCTAATGCAAAAACTGTTAAAATTTTGTTTTTTTCATCAATATCGTGATATTTTCGATTTTGATTTCAATGGACTTGTCTAGTAAATAACTATAAATTTAATTTAAATTTTACTTAGATCAATTATATTTCTTTCAATTTTAATTCTTAATAATTTCCTGAATTCTTGAATTTTTTCTTCTTCTTCCTCACCTTAATCCCAACTACTTGGGATCGGCCACCCTTATCCTAAATTTCCACTTGACACGATCTCCCATATCACCTACGCTCACATCAGCTGTCTTCATATTCAATAGCGTCCCTCCATCTCTTTTTTGGTCTTCCTCTATCTCTTCTTCTTTTAACATTTATTTCTATAACTGTTCTTACAGCTTCCGATTTTTCTCTTCTCATAACATGACCAAACCATCTAAGTCTATTTTCTCTCATCTTATCCACGATTGACGCTACACCTATACTGCTTCTTATATGCTCGTTCCTTATTCTATCTTTTCTAGTCACTCTATTCATCCATCTAAGCATTCTCATCTCTGCTACACTCATTCTCTGCTCTACTTTCTTATCAACAGCCCAATACTCTGAACCATACATCATAGATGGCCTCACTAAAGTCTTGTAAAATTTACCTTTCAGTCTCATTGAAATTCTTTTACGCATAAGATGCCAGACGCTTCTCTCCAGTTCAACCACCCGCACTTAATTCTGTGTCTTACATCTTCGTCAATACCACCACTCTTTTGCACAACTGACCCTAATTATTTAAAACTCTCCACCTCTCCAATCACATCCTCGCCTACAGTCACTGACCTCCTCATTTCACCTACCTTGTGTTCTCCTTTGTCACACTCGTACTCTATATAGTGTGATTTTTTTATCATAACCCACTTAATTACTTACAAAATAAATATATTTAAACATTTTTTTTTTGGTTATCTTTGGTTACACATTATTCTTGAATTATTAACTATTTAATATTTTTTAAGTTCATCCCTATGCCTCGTAAGGAGGTCAAGTTTATTTTTTTAAATGGTAACACATATTTTTAATTTAATAAAATGTTTGAGTTTTTAATTTAATAGTAAATGGCATTTGAATTTTTATTATAACTTTATTCGTTTATTAGATATAAAAATTTTAAGTTTCAAATTTTTGAGTTAATATACATGTATAATACACAAGGAATTACAAATACAGGTAGCTAATTGGTTTTTTATGACATCAATATTCGCAGGTACACAGCATTGTTATTATCAATGGTAGTAAGCACATTGTTGTGAGTTCATAAATACACTAACTGACTATATAAAAAGTATATCTATTTATAGTCATAATTGATAATAAACAATCTATGACTATGACAGCGATGTCATCCCAAATATGCTGCGAATTCACTGTGCTATTGTTGAGTATTTAAGGATAAAAATATAATTGCATTATTTGGGATATGTACAAATACGTTTTGTATTTTGAGTATTCTAAATGCCCAACCAACGGTTGCATAAAAATCTTATCTATGCATTGATAGGCTTTATGAAGCTTATTTGTTAAAATAAGCTAAGGTTCATGTCAAGGTTTTAAATTTCAAAATCATTTTAGTTAGGTAAACAATACGAATTTTAATCAATTATTTGTTGTTTTATTTGTTGAATGTAATGAAATGATTGATGTTAATAAAAATATGTGTATTTAATCAGTTTGTATTCATTACGTTTGATGTCTGAATTTTATCAACAATAGATTTTTAAACATTTTTTAAATATTATGTAAATAATAATTCGATAACATATTTTTTAATTATATTCGTAGATGAATAATATTACTAACATAAAAAATATGTTTGACAGACAAAAATTATTGTTTTGATTTAATTTTTATATTTTTCATATACCATATTTTCCATTATTATTATATTTAAANGACAGACAAAAATTATTGTTTTGATTTAATTTTTATATTTTTCATATACCATATTTTCCATTATTATTATATTTAAATGCCCAAGATTTCAGGCTCCTATACATAAATTAGCATTTTTTTTTGTCATAACTCATAAAATGATTTCTAAAATTCTGTTAAAAAAAAAAAGTTGATTAACCTATTTTTGTTGAGTTTTGACACTAGCTTTATGTCCCTTCATTCTTAAATTCAGTTTTAACTATATTACAAATTTTATTTTTACTTATTTTCTTTAAGTACAATAGAACATAAATAATTTATTTATTTTATTGATAAACGCTTTTATTTGACTCAAATATTTCTTCGATTTCCAATAATGTTTTATTTTCTGTTTCAGGTAAATAAACATATAAAAATAAAATTCCTACAATTCCGATCACACCAAATAAAATCATAGTGTACTCAAGTGACAGATATGATTCAATGCTTGTGTATAAATATGTTGAGAAAAATATATATAAATAGTAAAAAGCTGCTGATAGCCCAGTGGTAACTCCTCGGATACTATAACAGAGAAAAATTAAAATTTGGAATTATAATTTAATACTCATACTGATGTAGAAAGAAACATTATGACTAAAAAAAATTTTGTTTTATTAGTATAAAGATGCATACTAATTCCTTAGTATTTATTATACACGTAGTATAATACACAATTTTGTACTTTAAGGAAGTAAAAATAAGTTTGGGTTAGAATTAAATTAGTATAGTTAATTTTTAAATATAATTCCATTAAATTATCATCTAAAAGAATAATTTTAATACTAAAAATAAATTGAATGGAATTGTTTTACTTACTTATTAGGAAATATTTCACTTATTACCATCCACGGTAATAATGTTAAAATGTAGGCAAAAAAATAAATCCAGCAAAACAAAAGCAAGAATATCCAGGGCTTACAAGTTAAGTACTCATTTTTTATTAACATTAAATACAAGCCTATAAACAAAACACCTCCAGTATTTGCGGTCAAACTAAGTAATGACAGGAATCGTTTTCCGTATCGATGAACAATCAGAATTAGAACAACACATGGCACAAATTGAATAACTGCTAATAGAATCTAAAAAATACATTATCCAGACAAAAACAATAAAATACGCCTTTCAACATTTACTAAAATAATTAAAATTACCAATATTTCACTCTGATATGTTTCCAGACCTACTTCTGTTAGTAAGTGTTTTATAAATGGCCTGCATGGTATGATACACAATATTTCGGAGAAAAAAAAGAATAATAAGAGCATAGATAGTGGTCTATAAACTAGAGGATCCTTAAAAATCATTTTCATAAAGTTTAACTTCGTTTTTTTTTCCGAACCTTCTCTTATATGAGTACCAGATAGTTGAATGTACTGAACCAATTCTTCGTATTCTTCATTGACTTCAGGCAATTCCACCCAACCTCTTAACCAACATAATGATTTTTTAGCCTTGTCAGTTTGGCCATTACTTAACAACCAGATAGGCGATTCTGGTATCTGGAAAAATGAAATTAACAACTTATACAATATGTATTTTAAAGGAATAATAATAATTATTATTCCTTAAAAACCCCTTATTATGATTCTTACTATCAAAATAAGACAAACACAAATTATCGGACTAAGCATAATAAATAGTGCTATAGTTCTCCATTTGAAAAAGCATCCCAAAATAGAACCTAATACGGAGCCCAGCATAAGTCCACTATTTGCAATTGATGATAGTTGACCTCTATTTCGAGGTTCTGCAATTTCTCCAATATAAGAGAATACAGGAGCTTCACTTATACCAATACTCAATCCCAACGGTAAAGAAGATAGTAATAGCATTGTGGGAGTTGTTGTGTAATGTAATAATGCCCATCCGATTAAACTAGGGATGTTTGCCAAAATCATGCATCGTTTTCTACCATACTTATCTTGCAAGAATCCCGAAACTAGACTACCAGGTAGTTGATAAATACATATAATGCTAGCTGGTTAATTAAGTAGTTATTTATGGTCAATATATTTTATACAACATTGTTCTTGTAACACTCACCATACCAAGAAAGTTGATTACTAGTTAATGAAAAATCATCATTTTCGTGTTGATAAAAATCACTTATAACTATTGTAGGCATAAATAGCATAATCCCAATATTAATAATTTGAAATGTCGGTGCGATAACTGCTAATATCTGAAATATAATACTTCATAGTTATAAAATAATGAGGTAATTTTTACAGCTTTACTTTATTAAAGTCGTATTATTGGTCAACAAATTTAACGAGTATAAAAAATGTCATTAACTTGTATCTAAATTTGTAGTGCCTTTGAAATAATTCTACATTTTACAGTATAAAATTTTAACACAAACGTACAGTACAATTTAAAGTTTCAAAAATGTATACACAAATATAACTTTTTTTACACTTTATTAAAATTTTACGTTATATTATATGCGTTAAAAACTTCCAATATTAAAATATGAAAATTCAAACATTTTTTCTAGTTGTGTAACGTACTTACGGAGTGGAAGACAAATAGAGCAATGTGTCTTCACCCTTATAATTATATTTTATAAATTTTCGTAAAAATTAACTTTAAAAGATTAAAATCATGATATGTTTAATCGAAATTTGCAAAGGTTGTAGTTAACATATTAATAAACAATCAATAAAAACTAAAAAAAGAAAAAGTTTTTTAATTATTATATTTTGTATAATTTACTTATTTATTACTAATATAATTATCTCAAAAACTAGAAGTGAAAAAATTGTAATTGTAGATTTGAAATCGGCTCAAAAAATGGTTTAGAACATTTTTGTTTCTGGTGAAAATATCATTTTATCTGGTGTTATATTTACTTGTGCCCATTTTGCTTTCCGCCCATAGTTTATTTCCGATTGAATTTCAATATAATTATAAGTCATTATTTAAAATATATTATCAGAACTGTATGTCAAATGATTTCACATGAAGAGTAATTTACATTAGTAATATATGAACTAAAATAAATATCATTAAAAAAGAAAAAATCTTTGCAAAAAAAAAAAAAATTTAGTTGTTTTATAACAAAATACAAATTAATTTTCGACAAATATATTTAGGAAAAATATAGCAAAACCACAATAATAGTTCTAGTGATACCATTAAAAATATTTAGATAATAACTAGGTAATTTAATTTTTTTCTGTAGTTTTATCATACTACATGGAAATTAATTTCACAATGTGATAAAAAACAACAAAAGTTAAAGTGTAGTTTAGTTTATATTTTCTTATAATTAATAAATAAATTAAACTTTACTGTTATCTATTTTACATTCTTCTTATGATACTAATATATGATATTTTAATAAATTCAAACATGTTATAAAATATAATTTCAATGATTTATAACACTACAAAATTTTGCCAATTAATAAATAAAAAAAAATCAATTATTAATTAAAAAACGTATGAAACTATAAAGTGTTTCATAAAAACGAATAATTAATATTCATTTATATCAGGGACCCACTGAAATTAACATTTAAAAGTTTTATGACCTATAATGGTAATATCTGAATAAATATTTATTTATAATATTTTATCTTAAAGTGTACTATAATACTGAAAACACCATTTTTGCCGAAAATTTTTCGGCTATGACAAATTTGACATCAAACAACTTATTCGCAACTTAAAATGTTCTAACGGCAAGTAAAACCCCTTCTAAATAATAATTATAGGAACGATTACTCTTATCGTTGTCCCTAAGCTACGCTATTCGTACGTACCTAATTAGAGATTAGAACTTATTCAATCGTAATTAAGAAAACTCAATGAATTGATAAATAATAAATTAGTTTATTATTTATGTAAAAATACATAGGAATAAATATATTTGTATGTTACATCAGTGAACTCTTTTATTAGAATCAAAAATTTCTTCTATTTCCAGTAATGTTTTGTGTTCTGTTTCTGGTAAATACAAAAACAAGTAGATAAATCCAATGATTCCAATAATGCCAAATGAGATCATGGTATACTCAAGTGATAAATATTCTTCAATGCTCAAATACTCTTTTACTAAAATAAATGTTAGTAAATAGTAAATAGCTGCTGATGTTCCAGTTGCAATTCCACGAGCTCTAAAAAATATTGGTTTAATTATGCATTTATTATAACAAATTGTCATAAATGAAACGATATTTTTTCAAAAATTATATATTATTAAGTACATTTAGAAATTTTAATTATAACGGAATTTTATAATAATCAGATTGCGTAAGTGGTTCTGAAAGGTATATGTAAAAAAATGATAATTGAGCAAAATTTAATTTTAAAAAAATAATGTTTTCAATTTCTAATTATTGATATAAATTTTCTTTACTTTAAGTTGTCATATATTTGTAGCATAAAACTATAAATAAAAGATAGACAATAATAAGGACGTTTTAAGTAAGTCTATATAATATTAAACCCATTAAACATAATTGAATATTGCCTTAAGTTCCTATTCCCTGGGTCCAAACAAATTTTAATATTGTAAAACTAAGAGTTATTTGCAGTACTGTAATATTACTTATATTATTATTATGTAATTATAATAATAATTATTGTTATTGTCGTTTTCATTTTATATTTCAATCTTCTATTCAAATCGACTTTTTTATTTTACGTATAAAATACGTAAAATACGACTATAAAATGAAATTATTTTACTTACTTATTGGGATATATTTCACTTAATACAATCCATGGTAAACATGTTAAAACGTAAGCGAAAAAATATATCCAGCAAAACAAAAATAAGAATATCCATGGCACATTAATTAATAATTGATTTTTTATTAAAATTAAGTATATTCCAATGATTAGTACAGCTGTAGTATTTGCAAATACACTTAATAATGTTAAGAATCGTTTTCCATGTCCTTTTACAACCATTGATGTCATAACACAAGGAAAAATTTGAAGAAAAGACAAAAGTATCTAAAATACAATATGTATGTGATATCAAATATTTTTTTTATAAAATTTTTTTCTATAGAATATAAGAATAATTATACATGTTATTACTATATATGTATATGTATTATTGTGACATTTTAGAAAATTAAAAATATATATGCATTATTTTAAGTATATTTTTTTAGATAATCATCGATTACGAACAGATTAAGAAATTAATCAAAACGATATTATTTAAATACCCTTTTCTAATAAAGTGTTAAAATGTTACATAATATTAAGACACTTAGTGTTTTGTTTTTTACATTACAGGCTATTAAATTATAAATAAATACGACTAAAATTCATATTATAGGATAAAAATATTATGAATAATAATTTAAGGAAATTCTATCATTCATTACCCTTTCTATGACTCCAAAAAATTCTCAAAAAAAAAAAACAAATATATTTATATATATGTTATTACTTATTTTTAATATTTTGGTTATTATTTTTGTGCTTGTAAATTGGAAATTATTGGCCTTTTTAAAGCGAAGGAATAGGAAAAAAATAACTAAAAATTGTATTCATGAATTTCATCATGAACTAAAAAAGTAAAAAAGCATTAATGTAAAAATGTTTTTCATTTCTAAAAATTAAACATTTTATTGACTTACCAATATGAGACTTTGATTTGTTTTTAGACCTAACTCAGTCAAAATATGCTCAAGATATGGTTTACAAGGAATTATGCTGAGAATTATAGAAACCAAAAAGAATACAGAAATCAATCTTAGTGGTCTATAAATAAGAGGATCCTTAATGGACAATTTATTTGAAGTAAATTTCACATTTTTCTTGCTGTTATTTGCGACGTGAACGCCTGAAATTTTATTGTATTGAACCAGTTCTTCATATTCTTGTTTAACTTCTCGCGGTTCCACCCAACCTCTTAACCAACATAATGATTTCATAGCATCGACAGATTTACCCCTACTTAATAACCATATTGGTGATTCAGGTATCTAAAAAATATATTTAAATAAAATTAAAATTTATGAGAATCTAGTAGAATGTATTAATTATAGAATATAATTTATTCAATGACATTTTTAGTTCAGTTAAATATTAGAAAAATGATATTAATTTTACCGAGAACTTTCACAATTTATAATTCTTTAACAAAAAAAAATTATTTTTGTTTAATTTGTGAACTATAACAACCATAATTTTTGTTATATGAGAATGTACTTACTAAAAATACAAGTATTATAGATATGATTGGGATAATCGAACTGATAAATGCCACAGTCCTCCATTTAAAAAAGTATCCTAATATTGATGTTACCAAAGAACCAATCATGAATCCACCTTGTGATATAGAAGCCAACTGGCCTCTAACTCGAGGCTCTGTAACCTCACCAATGTATGAAAATACTGGCGTACAAACAAACCCTATACTGAACCCAGTCGCCATTGAAAATATAAAAAGCATTGTAGGTGACACAGCTAAATGTAACATTAACCATCCAATAAAACTAGGCATGTTGGCTAATATCATGCAATATTTTCTACCAATTTTATCTTGTAAGAATCCTGTAAGTAAACTGCCAGGTAGATAGCAAAGGGGTATCAAACCTCCTGTGCCATACATATTAGTTACATTTGTAGTTAATAATGATTAAAAAAAAATTTGTATTAAATATTTACCAAACCAAGAAGCTTGTGTACTTGTCAAAGAAAATGTACCATTTTTGTTAAGGTACACGTCTCCAAGAACAAGAGTTTGCATAAATAATCCCATACTACAATTAAGAAGCAAACAGCTCATTACTAATACAGTTAATGTCTGAAACAATTACATTTATATTACTACGTAAAATGAAGTATTTCAGAAATACTTTTTTGTTTTATTGATTTAGAAAAATTTTTTTTTTTACAATTTCACCTACAAATATTTTTGTTTTACATCAACATATTTAAATTTTCATATAAATGAAACTGTGTTTCACTCTTCAGCTCTTAATCAGTACCCTATGCCTAATTCACTAAAATTATGTGGAAATAACTAATTCTCATTTTACGAAGGATTTTGTTATCAGTTTGAAACGTCATTACAGTTATTTTGATAATGAAAAATATGATGTAGCTATATGAAAAATTATGTTAATTAAATGATTTATTATTAAAAAAATAGTTCTTATATTTTTTTACAATGGCCCTGTTGGAGTCTTGGCTACTATAGGTTGTTGAGAATAACATAATTTCAGCACGTCAAGCATTTTTGCTTTAATTGCGTCCATATATAAAATTATTCTATCTAATATTTATACTAACCTGTGCCAACATTGCTTTGGGTCCATATTCATTACTTGAGGGAATTTCAATATACTCGACAGACATTTGAAAATAATAACACGTGTAACCAAAAAAAAAATGTAATATAAAATGTTTCAATTTACCAAAACCTTTTTATTTTTGATACCTAAATAAAAAAATATTAATGTTAACATTGTTAATAGTTAATGTTTATTTTTGTCTAAATATTTATAGTCCTAACTTTTGTCAAAAATTTCTGAAGTTCTAATTGTAACCTTCTGAACTCTGATTTCTTCAAACCATCTCTAGCAAAAGTTTTTTTCTTTTTAAATTTTAGCTAATTAAATTAGTATTACTAATCCTGATTTCTATTACATCCTTAATTTTCACTCGATCCCAATTATTATTAAATTATTTCTTTTTTAAACATGTTGCGCTATTTATTTTATTTTGAACTATTATTATAGTGTTATATATTAATAAGATAATACTTATTATATTATATAATATTTATATATTACATAATATAATAATAAGATAATAATATTTGTATGTTTTGCTAACTAGTATATGGTAGTTATGTTAGTTGTACATATTCTTATTTTTTAGTCTAAAATGTTATAATTTTTTATTAATATATTTCATATTGTAACATTTCAATTGCTGAGCCATAATGTATCATCAAATAAAGACTATAAAAAAATTAAAACTCATCAAACATTTCAATAGGAAAATTTGTATTGCATTATATTTACTTGAATTAGTAAACATTATTAAATATTATTATTAAACATCTAAAAATACGAACAAAATTATAATTTAATAAATTAAAAAAATATGTGTTTAATTTTTAATATTTGAAAAAAGTGCAACGAATCAATTTGTTTGTTTTAACGAATTGTAGATAATATAAATTGTAGTTCTAATGTATTTTCAATGCTAATATTTTTTATCAGTATTTAATTGAATTAATACAATAATCGTAAAGCACTTTATTAGATTAATAATTTTCTAGTTCAAAATGTATTTCAAGAAATATTAGCAAGATGTTTAACAAGTCCTATGAAAAAATATACTTATTCTGCGTGTCAAATAATATTTTTGTTAACTTACCGCACAAGGTTCACTTCATGAAAAATTATGAAGACAAAACAAGTATTTTGAAAATATAATATATTAGTATATATAAATATTATTTATCTAAATGATTAATTGACTTCACTAAAAAGTTATTATTGTTTAATTCTAAATATTCAAGTAATGATATTTTAACTATAATATACGTATTTAATATTAGATAGAAATAAAAATATAATTTTAGATTACTCTTAACTACAACACGTTCAATAAAGGTTGTATAAAAATTTAAGACTTGCTTTGAATTGTATTTTCATAATCTTTAATATGTATTCATGGTTATTTCATTATGAATTGAATGTCAACTTCTAATAGTAATAATTACAGATTCATGTAACATTTTTCTTATAACTCATTTTGATGTTCATTTTTTTACTTCAAGGACGCGTTTAAAAATAAAAAAGGAATAAAATGTACAATGTGAGAATGATAATGCATATTAATTTATAGTACATCATTTTGGCGATACATCAAGTTTTAATCAATGCATTCTCTTTGTAAAATAATAAATATTATATAATCATTAAACGATCTAATAAATTGACCTCACTATTAATCTATTAATTTCTAATTTACAACTCTAAAAAGATAATAATTTTACTATGATTTTTTGCTTTGATGCGAATCTGAGAAGGTATCAATTTTACTAAGTGTTTTTTTTTTATTATTTTTTTTTTTTGTGTCTGTGAAAACTCAATCTCAGCTTTCGCTGACCGATTTCTTAAAAAATTTAATCCGCGTTGGAACTACAGAAAGTTGTCATGCTTACAAAATTGCTGCATCAAATGTGAGCTCTTAACATTCTTAATTATAATTAACATTCAATTAAAAAATTGAGGTATAAAAAGATATTTATGTATATTTTATAAAATGAATGCGTCTACCTATTAAATTCAATTTTTTTTTTTTTTTTTGAATAATTATTTGAATTAAAAAATGCCTTATTTTTTATTAGTTAATGTAATATAATGAAATTTGGTATATTAATTTTTAAATAAAATTTATACGTTCTTGCTTAGGAATGACTTATACTATGGATTAGGAAGCAATAACCTACAATATCCTGAAATTGGAAAATATCAAAAAACTTTAAGTAATTGTTGGGTAGCAGATTAGGCCAGCTCAACACTCAGCCACGTAGACAGCTTATGCGGTATGCCCAAGTTAATGAATAAATAAAATTATTTTTAATAAAAAAAAAATTATTAAAGCCCTAAAACAAAAATCTGTGAGATTGTCTGAATAAGCGATGAAAAAAATAGTGTTATTTTATTTAATATAGTGGTCCCTATCAGCATTCCGCAATTAGTTGAAATTACCAAGTAGAAAAAACATGCTTTATTTTTGAAATCACTTACCCATTCAATGACGTAACAGGTTGTCTAGTGCATATATAAAATTTGACAATAATTTTTTAATGGTCTATCTAAATTAAAAGTTTTTAAAATGTAATATACTTAAGTTTAGGTTCATTAAAATAAATGTATAAACATAATATATTATAATATAAAACTAATCTAACTATAGTTAGTATATTCTCAGATTCGCATCAAAACAAAAATATTAACAACCAATTTTATGTTTTTACATACAATGGTTTATATAATAGTTGCATACCACTAAATGCATTGGCGTAATGTAGACAAATTTTTATAATTTTCAAAATTTTTAATAATCTATTATAGGTTTTCTTGATACTCACTGATCAAATGTAAATTTAAATATTTTGTCATAAAACTAAAAATAAGTCATTAAAAAATCAGTTAATTTTCTCAAAAAAAAAATATATATTTTTTACATTGTAAAATAATATTAATAATATTTAAAAACTACACATTTTAAAAAAAACATTTTTAATAACAGTTATGAATTAAAATATAAATGTGTATATAAATGATTTGATAACATAAATTATATTTTTTAAATTTATATCTGTGAATTAAAATACACATGTACCGTTGATCACATAACATTAATGTTATTGGAAATTTTTTGGGATCATAACATTACACTTTGATTTTTTAGGGGGCGTTTGTAGCCCTNTATTGGAAATTTTTTGGGATCATAACATTACACTTTGATTTTTTAGGGGGCGTTTGTAGCCCTTGTAACCCCGTAATTTCCCCACTACCAACAGGTCTAAGTGTATAGTCAGTTCATATCCACTTCTTAAATAAATCTTAAATGTATTAAATTGAATGTTTTTATATACAACGTCTATGCTGAATAAGTATAATAATTTTTCACATAGATTTTATAAGTATATGAATTAAAAAAAAATATTTTTTATATATGTTAAAAGCTCACCACAACTTTGTGTATAGAGTTTACGTATAAAATATAATAATTCAATAAGAAAAAACTGTAATAAATTAAAAATTACAAAACTTTGTTGATCACAAACACTCGAATAGTATGTCAAATAAACTTACTGAATTACATTATACTGAAATATATGAAAAAACTATTAAGTATTTTATACTTAAAAAAGGGAATATTTTTAAAAACTACTTAATTTGTAATTAGTTGTATTGTTGGACAAATAATTACGTTCCGTAAAGTCTAAATACACCACAGTGGTGAGTGTAAAAATATAAGTAACTCGGTAAGATGTTTACTATTATTGACATGTATATTATTATTAATAAAAATAATCCTTTTTTTTAATTATTATTTGTTTTACAAAAAAATTTAAAATATATCGTATTTTGCTTATTATTTATTTAACAATATTTTTAATTATTGTATATAAGAATTAAAAAGTCATCACTAAGGCTTTTAAAATTATCTTAACACATAAAATTGCTCTTACGAAAATTACTTTAAAATTTAACTAAAAATAATAACATGCTAACTTGTTAGCAAATTCAAAAAATATATTTACTTTAAACCAATTATACAATTAAATATTTTTCAAATGTAATAATGAACAAATATTATACTAAATTTTTATATTATTATATTAATTTTTTTTATTTATAAAATATTAACAAAAATTAATAGTTTTAGCTTCAATGGGAAAATGAGAAGGTATTAATTTTTCAATGATGTGTTTTTTTATATCTGTTACCATAAATACTCAGCCATCACTGAATTGATTTTGCCCTCTAGACTTTCTATGTATAAACATACGTCAAAGATAAAGGAAATAGTACGATTTTTCTTTAAAATTCAGAAAAACTATTTGTATAATTTAGTAATCTATTTTATTATTTCATATAGTTATTTAAGAGAGGGTGGCTAAGTAAACCAATCCCCACCTCAATTTTTTTTCTACATTTTTTCGAGCACATTCGTATAGAAGCGTTTTATATTAATAACACTAACAGGTTTTCACTTATATTGTTGTCAACTATAGCGGTTCTCCACTATGCTTCGCCCCACTATGCTTAATTTTTTTAGTTGTGTTCTTTCGCAGTAGTTAATAAAAGTTCTGAGAAATAATTTTTAAAAATTAACAATAAATATTTTTATATATCTATTCTTAGATTTACTATAATATCTTCATTTAAGAAAAAAATTTGTTTTTATCAAAACACATTCAACATATTTAGAGAGTTTAAAATCAATGATTAATAGTAAAGTATATTATAATATCAAATTAATTCAATTTAATTATAATTAAATAAATATTATATATTTAAAATATTTTTTTTCAAAAATATTTTGCTTAGAAAATATAAGCTTAATGTGGTTTAAAAATATTATGTAGTCAAAAGATTAATATAATACTACTAAAATTGGATTTAATTGTGAAAATCAAATAACAATACAAAAAAATTTTACATTTGAACTATATGATGTACAAATCATATTTTGTATTTGAAAAACTATGTTGTAAAGTAATGAGAAAAATATGCAAATGCTACTAATTTTTAGCCCTATTTATGAAAAACGTCATTTCTGAAATTACTAATGCAATTACGTTTCTAATTATTCGATTATTAACGTCTTTTTAATCCTTACACAAAAATAGATGATAAATATAAATTTTCAAAAAAAAAAAGGTACTTACATAAGTGACAAGAGTAAGTCTGATGGAGTATTATTATGACAAAATAAAATATTATTCTAATAATTAATTTCAATGTCACGCGTTTATCAAGCGAGATAAAAATGGATTTAATCAGGTGTAAATCCAGAATTTTGTTATGTTATAATAGTTATTTATAATATTAGCAAGTTATTAAGTTTCAACCACTGCGTTCCCTCTTTGGAAAGCAGTAATTATATGTAATATTCATTAGTATCAGTATTTTTTTTTTTTTTTAATGTGAAAAGGAGCGTCCACTCTATTCTTATACTCAGCTTATACCAAACCTTTAGATTGTTGAATAAAAAGGGGTTTTCAAATTCATACGTATAAAAGATTAAATCAAACTAAATTTTGAATAAAAAAAAAAAATTATTCACACCCAAAGAAAAACCTCAATCAAAATTGAAAGAGAAATTTTATCAAGGGTTTATGATAATGTTTTATTAATACGAACAAAATAACTATTCTTATAAATAATTATTGTTCAAGACAAGAAAAAAAAATATCATATTGATAAATATATCATTGATTCAATAGTAATGATATATTTATCAAATTGAACAATGAATTTATTATATAGATCGAGGTTTTTCTCTGGGTGCATATTTAAAAAAATTACGGGTTCCTTCAGCATGTATGGGGTTGTGTCAGGAAACAGCCAATGTAAATTTCCATCAATTTGTTAAGGCAATGCTGACCGCAAATAATTATAATATTGTTTATTGCACCACTTTCATTTGACGAAATTGCTATAAATGTGAAAAAAAAATTGATGGACTTTGAAATCAAAAAATCACAATAACTGATATATTTAAATATTATGTTACACACCCAAAGAAAAACCTCGATCTATATAATAAATTCATTGTTCAATTTGATAAATATATCATTACTATTGAACCTATGATATATTTATCAATATGATATTTTTTTTTCTTGTCTTGAACAATAATTATTTATAAGAATAGTTATTTTGTTTGTATTAATAAAACATTATCATAAACCCTTAATAAAATTTCTCTATCAAAATTGATTGAGGTTTTTCTTTGGGTGCACTATGTTCTCAACAGACCCTTCAATATCCTGGCCGAGGGAACCACGCTTTTTTTAGAGGCCTCGCCAAATGCTCAACAAGAAAAAGTAAAGCCCTCATAGTTAACAAATTAACTCTCCAAAAAATAAACAAATTATTTTTAAATTCTTAAGATTTAAAAAGAACTGACTGGAAATTTTTTTCTTGTGAATCTAAAAATAATATCCACAAAATTTGAGCTTTATATAACATAATTAATTAGGCACGCTGTTTTTTAATCACTCATTTCTAAATTAAATTTTGGGCAATAAATGAAAAAACAACCTGAGAACGACGAGACTGAAGTTTATAAGAACAATTTTATTTTTTTGGTTATCTTTAGTTACACATTATTCTTAAATTATTAAATTATGCAATACTTTTTAATTTTATCCCTTTTGCCTTGTTTGGGTATCAACTTTGTTTTTTCAAATGAGAACACGTATTTTAAATTTAATAAAATGAGTTTTTAATTTAATAGTAAATGGTATTTGAAGTTTTAATACAACTTTATTCGTTTATTAGATATAACATTTTAAGTTTTAAAATTTTTGAGTTAATATACATATATAATATATGAGGGATTACAAATACAGGTAGCTAATGGTTTTTTTATGACGTCATACGGGGCATTTATTGTCAATTATGACTTTATCAATAAATATGCTTTCTGTATTGCCAGTTGGTGTATTTTATGTGTTTATACTTATGATACACTTTATATATTAGATTGCAGTGTTTTGTATTTTTGAAACATTCTGTAATATTGGAAAGAGGTATGTTGATACTTTTAAAAATAATAAACATGATAGATTATCTAATTGGAGAAGTCCAAGGTGATTTACTCGTCATTAAAGCGTTACTCTTTAACTCGTCAATAGAACGTTTCGATTAATGACTTTTTGTTATTTGGTCCAAAGTTTCACTGGTATTAACTCGAAAAAAAGTGACTCCGCATTCTTAAAATTATTCGAAATAGCAAATATTATTAAAAAATAAAATTCCATTTTATTCACAACAATTTCTTGAAATAACACTTATAGAGTATGAATTACGCTGATCAATATCATAAAATGAACAGAGGACGCTGAATGTTTTAAAGTTGTATATGTAGTACTTCACACATAATAATACAAATAATTAAAATAATATATTTATATCAACTTTTTTTAAAACATTTTCGCAAGAAAAACGTTTCTATTGACATTTTAAAAAATAAATTTAAAGTAGTAGATTTACCTATTGAAACTACTTCAAGTAGGTTAATCTAAAAATAGTTGGATAATTTCTGTATATTTTTAAGATTAATTTCTAATGAGATTTTCACTCAACCATATATGCAATCCATTTTATAAGCATATGTACTATATAAATAATATTATATTACTATAAATGAATTGTTATCGTTTAGTAGATACTTTTCTTTTATATTTTGAGTTTTGTATAAATAAGTGTTTATTTTCTTCTATCGCAAACTGAAATTATTTAATTTGTTTCCTGAAATATCTATTTTAAATTAAATCATTATCGCTGTGATTTAATGAAACCATTTTATGCGATTTATTAGTCAGGACTTATGAAAAGCATTTCCATAAATTATCAACAAAAAGTTGTCTCATATTTTTCATTATTTAATTTTCGAATATAGAAACGTATTTTTTTATAAGCTTAGTTATTACAATGACATTACGTCCAAACTCAAATAAATATGTCTCAAATTATAGTATAAATAACAACCAGAAGAGTAACAACAATCTACCACCAATAGGCGAGTTAATTTTAATCAAATTTAAATGTGTAATATTGAAGTATTTTCTATGATCAATTCTTAATTTTTATTAGCAGTATAAAATAATGTAAAAATAATTAAATTCTACTGTTTTAGTTTATTATTCAGAAGAACCAATATTGAATAGAAGAAGCACTTACTACGTGTCACCTCAATCAGTCAAGAGTAATACACCAGGTAACTTTAAAATAAAATGAAATGTACAGAATAAAAACTACAATAATTAATCAATATATTTTTCAGAAGAGCAAAAGAAATGTTTTAAATCTCTATCCCTTTAATAATAATACTAATATTCCTAATAGTATATAAATATTTTAATAATTTGTACATTTTTATTATTCTTCTATTTATTTGAAACTTATTTGTTTTTCGCTCGTGCTATGTTTTATCACAATTATATATTGCCATTTAGCAGTGTTGAGAAGGAACTGGTTCCAAAAGGAACGGATTCCTGGAACGAGTTCTTTTTGAAGGAACGATGCTAGGAACTGCTTCCTTTTAAAATAAAGGAACGAGGAAAATGAACAAATTCCATTTTTTAAGGAACGTGAACGGAAATTACAGTTCCTAAACATTTTTATAAACATGTTTTAGTGTAGTTTTCTTCGTATCTAGACATTAAAATATCAAGGTATTTTTAGTTGACTTTTGACAATGGAAGTCCCCTATATACCCAGCCGAGATCGTAGGCTGTTTAAATGAATCAATTGATTATAGAGTTATTATCATATGTAGGTATACAGTAAATATTTAATATATGTGTACATATATTAAATAATGCACCGAATATTATCGTCGTTTCTTGTTAACTAATATATGTTAAAGGTTTTGGGTTTTCTGATTTATTATTTCTAACTTATATGTAGACAATAGACATTGGTCGCGTTGACACAAGTCGTTAGCATTTACTACCTGTTTATAAATATAATTTTCGAATACTTTTAGATAAGGAATACTACAAATTTGTTTTGTATTCGACTGCTGATGAAAATCATTGATGACCGTTATCATGATCTCATTGCCACAATTTTTTAAATAACTTGGTTACATAAAAGGAACGAAGAGTGGAACGAGTTCTTATTTTGGAGGAACTGGATCTGGAACAAGTTCCTTCTTAATATAAAGAACTAGGATCTGGAACGAGTTCATATTTTAGAAAATGAACGGGGAACGGAACGAGTTCCATTTAAAAAGGAACTTTCCCAACACTGCCATTTAGCGTTAATTGATAAAATAATCATATTTATAAATCTTTATTATATAAAATGGTATTATAATGAAAAACTGAATATATTTTTATTGAGAGCATTTCATTACTTGATATTTGTGTGTGCTATTGAATCAAAAAACAAAATTGATATTGAAAAAAATTAACTGCTATTGTTATTCCACTGTACTATTCAAATGTTTAGTACTCTATCACTGAATGACTAGTTTTGATGATTTTAATTAAATATAATCATTTATAATATTTTTTAAAGGTTCAGTTAAATTATTATTAAATTAAGCTCGGGTTAGAACTCTGGAAAAATTATAAAAATGATTATACGTCATACAAGATTCAAAAAATATTATACATCTAGATTGTTGAATCAATTAAAAAAATGTGAAAGTTATTTCATATTGTAGTTATTTTATGATTCAAATAATTTTGTCAACAAAATCAAATAAATATTTTATTTATGTGTAGCATAAACTCATATATTCACAGTTTTGACTCAGTTTTTGGGAATACCATCTAATTATTATTTAGTTTTTTATTGTTATACTGAAAAAGATTGATTCATTTAATTAGAAAACAATGAAAAATAAATATTTTAAATAATTTTTGGTTATTAATTTTTTTTACGTTACATACACTTTGTTTTATAAATAAGTTTCATACATTCACTTATATTAATATTATTAATTAATTAATATTAATAATTATTTTAAATGTCTACACTTATTTTAATAGTACAGTAATTATAAAATTTATTTTAAATATCAATATATGTTTTTATTAATTTGCAGGTCGAGCATTAGAGAGAAATATGTCTGATTGGGAAAGAGGTAAATAAAAATTTACATATTTTTTTATGTACTATTTTCGTAAAATGATGATTTATACATTTTAAACGATTAAAGCAATACTTTAATATTAAAAAATAAATTAATATTTCAGTATTTAATCAGTTTGTTAGTGTAGGATCAAAGAAATGTATCAAAAAAAAAAATAATAATAATAATAATTTTTTAAACAATTTTATTGAATTGTTTTTGTAGAAATATTTTTAAAACTGAATAATTCAGTTAAAAAAAAAATAGAAAAATAGATTAATTTTCCTCTAATTCTACACCGATGAGTTATACTTTGATTATACCTCATAAGGGCAACAAGTTTTAGATACAGTTTTTAAAATTACAATTACAACTCTTTTGTACAATTATAATTATTATAATGACAATAATTCATTTGTTTATTTTTTCAATTAAGAAAGAATAAGTCATGATACTGTTACAAAAGCACGAAGATATCCCAATTCTTCAGATGACATTTTTACGCCATACTATGTGGATTGATTGTGAGAAAATAGGAATATCTAGATTAAAAAATTTATATTAATCATTTTGTTTGTTAAGCTTATATTTTTATTACATATGTACCATACAATGCTCTTAAATATGTTTTATAGTATGAATACAAGAAATTAATAAACTTCCTACTGTATATTTTCTACATTAAAAAAATTATAATCATTTACTGAAAAATATTCTGAAGTTTAGTTTATATTTAAAAACAATTTTGATGTCATAATCTTAGAGTATACATTCAGAATATGTGTATTTTATCATGTACAAGGAATGTTAATTGTTATTTAGTTTAATAACAGTGTATAATATTTATGTATTTAGCTTGTGCAATCTACATTTATAATTAGTAGAAAGTTGGCATGAATTACTGATATATCAAAAATTAAATCAGTACTCCATACGAGTTTTGGAACCCAGTAAGAAAAATGTCACACGTTTAAAAATTAAAATAATTTATTTAAACACTGTAAATAGATATTATGAGGATAATTACTTTTCAAAACTTGATAACAAATGGACTGAAGGTGATGATTTGAAAATTTTCTTCTTGAAAATTAGATTTGCAGATCCAATTTTTTTAAACAGAATTGGATGTTCTGAATAAAATAAAATAAGATTAATTCATCATTATTTAACACAATTAACAATTATTATATTTATTATATAAAATGATTACACTTGACAACAACAGTCAAGATGCTTATTATTAATAACACAGTAATTTTTTCAAATATTTTTATACATAACAATTTTCTTAATTAGATATACAATATACTGTATAGTATGCATTTTATTGTACATATATTACGCAAGAAATACTTAAGAAATTATTTATAATATTATAAAAATGTTTGTTTTTCATATACCTTATAAAAAAAAAAAATAATAAAAATTTGTAAGTAGACCCATTATTAAAAAACAGTGTCAAATATTATTACTCTACTACTTTTTGAAATATTTATATTCTTTATTAAAATAATATCATACAGAAAAAATATAAATTAAAATTTTATAATAGGTTACCTGTTAATTTCAATATTTCATTGTTATTATTTCATATGACAAATAATTATGAAATCAATCAAATTGTTTTTATAGAAAATTTAGTTTCATTTTTGGCATCAGAATTGAAATTTCTATGTGAATTATTTGAGATCACTAAACACTCTTCTTTTTTTACAGAGAAAATGCAATCTTTTGCTGCATCATGTTCTCGTAATATCAATGTTTTTCACTAAAAACTGAGTGCTATGAATGAATTCTTTCAGTAAATTATCAATCAAAATAAACCTATCTGTAAATTAAAAATTTAATAAGACTATAAAAACTAAAAAATTTAATTTAAACAAATTTTTTAATTACCTATGTTTTATAACTTGATTGTCCTAGTGGAAGACTAAAACTTTAAAGCTGTTCTTATTTGGCTACACATTTTTAAATATTTAGGATGCAAAATAATGAATTGTTATAGTAATTTAATAAAATGAAAATAGAGTAAATTAGATTCTACTATTAGCTTGTGAAATGATTGACAACCAATTTATCACATCATTTATATGACTTCTTATTAACTCCATTTGAAAATTACTTACAACACATTAAAAAAATTGTATAGACAGGTCCATTTCCTGTGGTACAACTGTACAATAGAATTCAAGACTAGTGCAAATGTGGTATTTCTTCTAATTGTTTCTCCAACTCAGAATACCTGTATTTAGATGAACACCGTTGTAGAGTGTTTTATTAGCATCTACAAAATGAGCAGCATTAAATCAGTATTCAACTATAATACCACAGAATACTACAATCTCAATAATTTATAGCTTTCACATAACCATCAGTAAATTTACCAGAAAAAGCTAAAAATTATACATTTAAAACTAATCACTTATTCAATTGTTAATGAAAAAAATATTGCCTAACATTTTGTATGTGACATGAATTTGATATTATTATACAATACTTATGTATAAAAAATTTCATTTTCTCTTTACCATAGGCTTATATGGAAGTGGTGTCGTGATTTGTTGCAAACTCATTAGTAACATTAATTTAAAAAATAATATATATATATATATATATATATATATGCGTAAGAAATTAATAACATATATTTAAATGTCAAGTGTTGCTAACAGGTGACTTCTTATCAAGTTTACGTGTCATACATATACTTAAATATGACAAACATATACCCTTATCTTATTAGTTTATTGTACAAAAAAATTGTAAAGATCGCTTATGTCAAATCGAAAAAATTACGTTTTAATTTTCCTGTTGAATTTTGATATCAGATAACAATACAATCACGGAAAGCCAAATTAAAAAACGAGTTGATTTATGATTATCACTAGATTATAGAGTTATCATGAAGAGATTATAATCACTCGTATAAGTTCTTGTCTGGAAATAATATAACTAAGTCTATCTTTTTTAGATTCTATGCGAAGCTGAGAATGTATTAATTTTACCATGATGTGTTTTTTTTTCTCTGGTTACTCATAACTGTATGACTTACATTCAATTGTGTAAATTGTATAATACAATTTTTATAATACTGTAGTATTACATGTTTTTTTTACATAGTCTTAATATGTACCAGCTCCAATTAATACATGGATCGTTCAAACCAGAAATTACAGACAATTTTTGAAAAAAATCCGACTGTACCATTACAAAAAACGAAAATTGGGCCAAATTTAGACTATAAAAATGAAAAGACTAGTAATTTTGTTCTTCAGACCATTTCGTCAGACAAAATAAGTATTTCAAAATATTTTTAAGCAATTCTTTGTTTATTAATAAATTATTAAATAAACATTATTTCTAATGTATTACATTATTAACATAAGTTATACGTAGTTGAGAACAAAAAGAACACATAAATGATAGAATAACACACTGTAATACATAATATATAATTAGTAATTATAAAATTGATTTATGTCGAAATTTAGTTTTCGCAAATGAGTCAATTCTTTGCAATTAAGTTCGTTTAACATTTAATTTTCTGTGTTTTGAGAAATGCGATATTATTTAACTTAGTGCCAGTCTGAGTGGGTCCGAGATAGTTTTTAACGCCTTTGAAACACGAAAACGATATATCTATAGTACAATTAGACACTTTTACACATATGAAAATTCTTATTACTATATTAATATTTGGAAAAATATTTAGGATTTAATGAAACTGTTTGTTTTACTTTGATAAATACCGTTTTTTGCGAAATAATCTCGAAAATCGTCGTTAATTTTGCTGAGTCGGCCTCCAAAATTAACGTAATAAAAGTCATTTTAGNAGTGGGTCCGAGATAGTTTTTAACGCCTTTGAAACACGAAAACGATATATCTATAGTACAATTAGACACTTTTACACATATGTAATATATGTAGTTATGTATATGTACATATGTAGTTATTTAANATTAATATTTGGAAAAATATTTAGGATTTAATGAAACTGTTTGTTTTACTTTGATAAATACCGTTTTTTGCGAAATAATCTCGAAAATCGTCGTTAATTTTGCTGAGTCGGCCTCCAAAATTAACGTAATAAAAGTCATTTTAGTTGAATTGGGAGACCCGCAACGATCTTTTAGTTCAACAATTTCAAAAAGCAAAATATTTTATTGTCACTAACCTGAGCATATGAACAACAATAATATCTGTAGTTTTATCGTCAATAATTCTTGTACAATAAGTAAAAGAAACTGGCTTCTCAAAAAAATTAGTTTACTTCGATGTTTGATTTAAAACATTTTATAGTCTTTTTAATTACTTTTTAATTTGACAATATTTTTGTATTAGTCAGCACTTAACTGTTTTCTATTTTCACTTTTATTCACAAAATAAAAAAAATATTTAACAAAAAATAAACGTAAATTAAAGCACACCATAATGGAGCTACGCGAACACTAGTCAAATTATGACAATAACATCCTCTGATATGATATATTTTTCAAAACAGATTTAAATGTAACATTTGTCAATTTTTTCTACAAAAAAAAACTACAGAGACAGCGATAAGTAAGGTAAATGAAAGTTATAAACTTGTATTTTATTAATAACCTCTGCTATTGTTATCGAGAAATTTAAATAGATTTGAAATAAATTTGCTTGAAGCTATTAATATACATATCTTAAATACACAATAAATGAAAACTATTATGATAATTATTAAGAAGTCAATATGTCATAACAACAATAAAAACATCACTCGCCTTTTATAAATTTGTCGGCCATCAATATTTGCCGCTCATCAAAAGTTGCCTATAGTTATATAAATACGCCGCTGTCGAAGTAATGGTCCAAAAGTTGTTACTGACCAGTCATTTTCTTAATTAAATCAATTTTATTTATTAATAATTCGATTAAATTATAATACATAAGTCGATTAAAATATCAACCAACAAAGTAACAGAAAAATGACTTGATGGAATTATCGTTTTACTATTCAGACAAAAACAAATGAAAAAAAAATTATTAAATTTTAAAAACTATTAAATAATCTGCAATGATTTTGTTTTTCAATTTAAACATTTCAAGAGATTATAAGTCGGGATTATAAACATAAATTACAAAATTTTAAATTTTTATTAAGTGTTTTATAAATGGCCTGCATTGTATGATACACAATATTTCGGTGATAAAAAAGAATAATAAGAGCACAGATGAATTTTTTTCCAAGCCTTCTCTTATATGAGTACTAGATAGTTGAATGTACTGAACCAATTCTTCGTATTCTACGTTGACTACAGGCAATTCCAGTATCTTAACCAGTATAATAATTTTTTTGGCTTTTTTAACCACTTTTACCATTACTTAACAACCTGAAAGCCGATTCTAGTATCTGGAAAAATAAAATTTACTACATAAAATATTTTTATATTAAAAGAATAATAATTATTTTTATTCCTTTAAAATCATGAGATAATTTTTTCAGCTTTATTTGATTAAAATCATAGTACAGGTAAAATAATGTCTCTAACTTGTATCTAAATTTGCTGACTATATTATTCTAAGTCAGTGTGCTGTGCCTAATAAATGATCTAAAATTTTTCATCAGCATAAAATTTTTAATACACACGTGTAGTGGAATTTTGTTATAATATATCAAAAAATTGTAGTTATGAATATACACAAATATAATATTTTTATCACTTTTTATTCAAATATTCCCATATATTTTATGCGTTAAAATATTCCAATATAAGTATTTGATAATTCAGACTTTTTTAGCTTCGATGCGAAGCTGAGAAGGTATTAATTTACCATGATGTGTTTTTTTTTAAATATAAGTCTAAAAACCAATATACAAAAATAGAAAATTTATTTAAATTTTTCAAATTATCTTTGTCGGAAAAATAAATATGTCTTCCTCTTCATTATCCCAATTACTTAGATTCGGCCACCTTAATCCTAAATTTCCATTTGACACCATCTCCCACATCATCCGTCATCATATCACATTCTATAAAATCACTCTTTTGATCTTCTTCTACCTATTCTTCCTTCGTTTTATACTTATTTTGAAGTGAATGAAGTTTATACTAGTGGTGGGCATTTTAAAATATTTAAACTATCGTATAACTATTTGAATTGTGTTTATACAGCCAAATAATTTATTTTTAGTATAGACTATCGAATAGTTTAAAAAACTATTCGAATAGTTTTTGAATGACTTTTAAATAGTTCAATAGTTACTATTCAATATTTCCCGTAACTAGATCATACAACATTTTCTTAAAATAATTAATCTAATCATTTTTATTCTAAATTATAGCTATGATGCAAAGATAAAAAGATATTGGTGATGGTATTTAGTTGAATTTTGTCGTACAAAAGGTTTGAAAAATCCCTCGAATATAGAAATTACAAAAAAATAACTGAAAATTACATTATTATAAAAATATCATTTTCAAACATTTATTAAATAATACTAATCTTAATAAAATTTTCATATACTATTGACAAAAAACTTTTATTATGTTATACGATTACGAAAAATCAATGATTTCAATCATATCTGACAGTGATTAAAACCACTATCAAAAGAAACGCTTCGATGCAAATCATTAGTTAATATTTAATTATAAGAAATTGATGGATTATTCCTAAAGCAAAATAAACTTCTATTTTAATATATACATTCTTATCAAAAGTTTTATGACCTATAATGGTAATATCTGAATAAATATTTATTTATAATATTTTATCTTAAAGTGTACTATAATACTGAAAACACCATTTTTGCCGAAAATTTTTCGGCTATGACAAATTTGACATCAAACAACTTATTCGCAACTTAAAATGTTCTAACGGCAAGTAAAACCCCTTCTAAATAATAATTATAGGAACGATTACTCTTATCGTTGTCCCTAAGCTACGCTACTCGTACGTACCTAATTAGAGATTAGAACTTATTCAATCGTAATTAAGAAAACTCAATGAAATGATAAATAATAAATTAGTTTATTATTTATGTAAAAATACATAGGAATAAATATATTTGTATGTTACATCAGTGAACTCTTTTATTAGAATCAAAAATTTCTTCTATTTCCAGTAATGTTTTGTGTTCTGTTTCTGGTAAATACAAAAACAAGTAGATAAATCCAATGATTCCAATAAAGCCAAATGAGATCATGGTATACTCAAGTGATAAATATTCTTCAATATTCAAATACTCTTTTATTAAAATAAATGTTAGTAAATAGTAAATAGCTGCTGATGATCCAGTGGCAATTCCACGAGCACTAAAAAAATATTGGTTTAATTATACATTTATTATAACAAATTGTCATAAATGAAATTATATTTTTTCAAAAATTACATTTTAATTAATACATTGAAAAAATTTAATTATAACGGAATTTTATAATAATCAGATTGCTTAAGTTGTTCTGAAGAGTATATGTAAAAAAATGATAATTGAGCAAAATTGGAAAAAAAAGTTTTCTATCTCTGATTATTGATATAAATTTCAACATAAAAATATGACTAAAAGATAGACATTATCTAGTATTAAATCCAGAACAGGAAAACTGGATCATTATTATTAAGAATAATAGATATATGACATAAGTTCTTTTTCTCTGGATCCAAACATATTTATATATTCTCAAACTAAGAGTTATATGTATTATTGTAATATTATAATTATTATTATTCATATTATCATTATTATGGTAATTTTTAGTTAAATTTTATTAATACAAATATTAATGTTTTGTAAATAATAGAGACGTATTAAATAATTTTAAATCTTTTATTCTAACTGAATTCGTAGTTTAATAATGAATAATATAATAATTATTTTAATTATATTCATACTAAAAATTATTTGATTGAATTATTTTACTTACTTATTAGGGTATATTTCACTTATTACAATCCATGGTAAACTTGTTAACATATAAGCGAAAAAATATATCCAGCAAAACAAAATCAAGAATATCCAAGGTCTATTGCTTAATATTTGATTTTTTATTAAAATTATGTATATGCCTATGATTAACACTGCTGTAGTATTTGCGAAGACACTTAATAATGTTAAGAATCGTTTTCCATTCCGTTTTACAACCATTGGTGTCATAACACATGGAAAAATTTGAAGAAAAGTCAACAGTATCTAGAAACAATGTTTATGTAATATCAATTATTTGAAAATAATATATTTACACAGCATATATTTTTCAGTTATCGTATTAGTATATATTATAAGTTTATGATGACTACATAGATCTTAAAATAGGTATTTGCTGCGGTTTTATATAAAAATTATTNTATGATGACTACATAGATCTTAAAATAGGTATTTGCTGCGGTTTTATATAAAAATTATTTGCCATCATCATTTAATATTTAAAATTTTTAATAAAATTAACTACTAGTGTTCAATAGTTTTAATTTACATATTAAGTAAATACTTAAGAGTAGAAGTTTTATAATGATAAAAATTAAATGTTTCAAAATACAAATGTCTAAATGATAGTTACTCCTTTAACTTTCTATTGTAATATATTAGATAAGTATTGATTTTGTTAAATATATTAATTATTACTTATTTTTAATTTTTTTGTTATTATATTTGCAAATTTGAACATGGTTGGGAATCATTGGCGTTCTTAAAGAGAAGAAATATGAAAAAAAGAACAAAAAAATTGTTTTTATGAATTTTATTATGAACTCAAATAGTGTAAAAACATTGAAATTTTTCATTGATTTCATAAATATTAACCTTTTAATTTACTTACCAATATGAGACTTTGATTTGTTTTTAGACCTAACTCAGACATAATATGCTCAAGATATGGTTGACAAGGAATAAGGCTGAGAATTATAGAAACCAAAAAGAATACAGAAATCAATCTTAGTGGTCTATAAATAAGAGGATGCTTAATAGACAATCTTCTTGTAGTTGATTTGGTATTTTTTTTAATGTTATCATCGACATGAGAGCCTGAAATATTATTGTATTGAACCAGTTCTTCATATTCTTGTTTAACTTCTCGCGGTTCCACCCAACCTCTTAACCAACATAATGATTCCATAGCATCGGCATATTTACCCTTACTTAATAACCATATTGGTGATTCAGGTATCTAAAAATATATATTTAAATAAAATTGAAATGTTTAAAATTCATGAGAATTTAGTAAAATTTATAAATCATAAAATATATTCAATGACTTTTTTAGTTCACAATAATATTATAAAAGTTGATACACATTTTACAAGTACAGAAAGTACTTACTAAGAATATGAGTATTATACATATGATTGGAAAAATCGAACTGATAAATGCCACAGTCCTCCATTTAAAAAAGTATCCTAATATTGATGTTACCAAAGAACCAATCATGAATCCACCTTGTGATAAAGAAGCCAACTGGCCTCTAACTCTTGGCTCTGTAACTTCACCAATGTAAGAATATACTGGCGTACAAACAAAACCTATACTGAACCCAGTCGCCATTGAAAATATAAAAAGCATTATAGGTGATACAGCTAAATGTAACATTAACCATCCAATAAAACTAGGGATGTTGGCTAAAATCATGCAATATTTTCTACCAATTTTATCTTGTAAGAATCCTGTAAGTAAACTGCCAGGTAGATAGCAAAGGGATATCATACCTCCTATTCATACATTTTAATTAGATTTCAAGTAAATTATGATTTATAAGAGATTGTTATTAAATATTTACCAAACCAAGAAGCTTGTGTACTTGTCAAAGAAAATGCACCATTTTTGTTAAGGTACACGTCTCCAAGAACAAGAGTTTGCATAAATAATCCCATACTACTATTAAGAAGCAAACAGCTCATTACTAATACAGTTAATGTCTGAAACAATTAAATTTATATTACTACGTAAAATGAAGTAATTCAGAATACTTTTTTTAGCTTCGATGCGAAGCTGAAAAGGTATTGGTTTTACTAAGATGTGTTTTTTTTTTTTTTTTTTTTTT